ATTTACGAAATTTTACGAAATTCGGAGTTTGTTTTCAAGCAACCAGGTATTTCGGTTCGACGGTGTCAGGCTCCTACGACTACAACGTGTAACAGTCGGAGAGCCTGGTCGGTTTAGTTTCCAACCAAACCACAACACCCTATAACGAACGGATTTCGCACCGAAATAACATTTGCAATATTTACAAACCTTTGGGGGAAAAAGCCGCTGTCGGCACAGGACACGAGGATTGCAACGAGATTATAAAAATGATGCAGAAAACAATCAATTGACAAATTCTTTCTCTTCGTCGTTGCGCTCGTTTCGCGTCACGATACCGTCCTGCCACCTATCGGTGACGTTCTGGTGTTTTGCAGCGGCAGGGTGGAGCAGGAAAAGGATTATTTAACTTCGACAAGTTTGTTAATTTTGCCGAAAAGCCATGTCTTACAAACATAAGTCAGTTTTTGCAACTTTGCCGAAAACCACAAGAGGTGTACCTTTGGTTCTAGGAGGTGACCCGAAGGGGAAAAACTTTTTGTTAGTATACAAATCGCACAAAGTTATTGACTAACTACCGGTAGTGTCTAAAAAATGAGTTGTGTTTAGTTCAAACTGTTTACATTACCATATATTTTTCTTATTATTTTTTTTCTTATTTAGGCAAGAAAAACTCTTTTACTTATACTTCGGCACTTGCAAGCTTGAAACTCTCTACCAGCAGCAAGTTAGGACAAATACTGTTTATTCTAAAGTTTTAAGCAATAGTGTTTAAGAAAATGTCTGGATGGAAAGCCTAAGAAAACATTCAAAGCGCAGAGCGATCGATTTTCGCTAAAAAAATTCGTTGAAGATTAGACATAAGAAAAGTTTTGTATAGTCTTATGAGAATGTCACCATTGTATGACGCGGTTATAACACTACAAATTTGTATTATTTCAATAGTTTATTAGTGCTGATAGTAGTGTAAACTGTAATTGTTACTGTTAGATGAAGGCATACAGCAAAACCACTGGCAGCAAGAAAAGTCCGCCACAACTAAACAGCACACGACGCCGCTATTGACTATATATAATACTACATGGTGCCCTAACTCGCCGCCGCACGGACGCAACAAACTCACCGTTTTCAATCAAGTTACAACTCCGGTGTTCTGCATGACAGAAGGGGGCAGGGCCGGGCTGCGCTGATTGGCTGCAGCACTGCCAGCAAGTCAGTTGCGTAGTTGCGCAGCCTGTCTGCACATTAAACTGCTGCAGCCAATCAGCGGGCAGCCGGCCCATGCCGCCTTCTTCATAGGTAGATCAAGGATTCATATCCGGCATGTACTATTGTAGAGGAATTTCCTGTGCATTTGAGCGCATTGTGGCGGGCGCGATTGTCAAAAAGGCGGGTATTAGCTTGTTCAGAGTCTTCTCCGCAAATTCCAACCGATAGTTGAAAGTGGCGTCACCTGCAGGACCCCGGAGTTGTAAACTGATTGAAAACGGTGAGTTGTGTCTCGTGCGGCGAGTTAGGCACCATTGTAGTATATATATATCAGGATGGCGTGCGTGCTGTGCCTGTCAGCGGTGGCGGACTTGAGTGAATGCGGCCATGATGGCCGAGGCGCTCGCCGAGGATTGACACTTTTGTGTCTTCGCAATCACAGTTTACCCGTCGCCTTTACTTCTAACTTTTCCGCTATATATACTATTACGGCATGGAATGCGCCGAACTCTCACGACTATGGAAGGGCATTCTGCTAGGCTAGAAGCGGTTTTCGCTACGATAGAGTTTGCAGCAAAAACGACAATAACACGCTGTTTTAGCAAGCACTGCGATAGGTTCTTTCTTTCTGTATTTTGGCATCTCCGTAGAAACAGAATAAGCTCCACTTCTTCGTTGATGGACATGAAATGGGGGCCGTCACGACGACGTTACCTACCGTTGCTGTGCCTAACGTTTTTCGCGGCCTATTACTTTTTCCTAAATAATGAAATGCCCCGGATCCGATGCATTTCGCATCGAACAGGAAAATTTTCTAGCATTTTCACTCGCTGTCGGAAGTCGACGAGTGCGTCCCTTCATTGAAACAATTCAATAAACACGCAATTTTCGCAGGCTATCGGGGCTAATTTTTACATGCCACCGCGCCATCTCTTGGATTGTTTATAAGTAACAATGGCGGATTTTCTAATAAATAATGCGTTTTATATGTATTTTACCACGATTTACGTCTAAGGAAACTATATGTTATTTTTACTGATTCTCGCATCGCTTTCCTTGGAGTTTTCATCGTGCCTTTCAATCTATCGGTAGGTTTTGCGTGAATTATTATTTTGGCGGCAGGCACTCATTTTGCGAAATCCTCCAACATTTTTTACTTTTTCCTTAGTTTTAAGTTTAGTCCATCTTTCACTTGTTATTTAGGAAGGAAAGGTAAACTGTGCCATTCGTATAATTTCACTCTTTGCTTCTATAGTCTGATTTCCACTAATTTGGGCTCTTCTGCCATGAATAATATTTCCTCGTCGTGAACCTAACCATTTCTAAGTCTCGGACTCATCATATCCGTTAATAACCATCGCTATATCATTAATTAAATCCCGCTTAGGTATGAATATTGTGGTGCATTGTTTTTTGATTACTTGTTGCCGTATTAAATTCTCTTTATCGCTTTCTTTGTTTGTGAATTTTAAGTAACTCATTTGTATTTTTTTTGTTCATATTCAATTCTAATCTTTTTTGAATCAGCTAATCTGGAGAATAGAACTGAGCGACACATTTGTTGTTTACGGGTTTTATGAATCTCCAATTCCGACATAATGTCAATCACTCACTCACACTCATCCTGTCCATCTTCTTTAAAACTAGCAGACATCCGCTGACGCTCGTGGAGACGTGCGCCGGGCTCGAATTTGGCCGGACGTCTCCACTTGCGGACACGCGCTCATACTTCAACATCGCTGTCCCGCGGTCGCGTGCGCTATCCCGGCGAACCTGCCGGGCGTCCTCATCCGCGCGCAGACGCTTAGGATCGACCAGCAAAGCGTGCCACCGCAATCTGTACATCATGTTTATGGCTGTTCGTGCTGCCAGTACGAGCAAACAAGGACCAACAATGTAAAATATATGTGTGCTCAGTGCATCTTTGTTGTGTATAATAATCCTTGTTGTTCTATCCACAATTTTTAATGAATTCAGATATTTTATTGTAAAGCTATGCGCTCTGTAATTGATATATATGATGGATAANGATACTAGAACACAACTTCAGGGATGAATCCAAATCTGGACATCGATCTAAGGGGGGGCTGCAATTACCAAAAAATTACAGTTAGTATATAGCAATGTGATTGGAGACTCCACGAATTTCCAACTGTTAAAATTGACTCACATCCGAATTTTCCATGTAACATTTGTTAAAAAAAAGCCATTTTTTGTACATTTAAAAGTAAGAGACAACTTATAATATATCTCAAAACTCTCACCTGGATAAAATTGTTTTTACGTTGGTAAAATTTGCAAAATCTAGACGATCTGGTTAATTTCTGTGTCTAACACTATTCCCATTACTGTTCAGAGACTGGCTCTCGGGCATATAAGAAGTATTGAAGCATGAAAAGTAGACAGAAACTACTAATTGTATTTCTCGTACATTTTTATTTTGTACAATAACACACAATATTACTACTTGATGGGCCCTAGAAATTCGTACGTAATCACCTTTTAACAATAGATTTATTGAATAATTTCTTTCCAGAAAAGCTAAGTATTTACACGGCATGTAAAAGAATATTACTATGCTTTTCTGCCCAAGGTCAATTCAGTTTTGAGTATGCAAGCAAGTTATGGTACAGCAGTCTCACATAAGCGCACAATGGCCAAGCTGAAGGTGTCAAATAAAGTCATTAGATGTGTTTCTCAACCTGGTACTAGAGCACACATAGGTGCTAGAAGTCAGGTTGTTAAATTGGGTACCTGTAGAGCGGATAATGAAGCTAGAAAGTCAATAGGTTTTTTAAAATATACATAATCTCGGCACACAAGCATATACAGTTCTATGTATACGAAGAAAGTCATACTTCTCAAATACAATGGAAAAGTGAGATTCTATGTTTAAACCGAGGGTGGAAGCAGTGCGGAAAAACTCTTTTACCTTATACTGCAATTGCTAGCTTGAAACTCTTACCACTATCAAGTTTAGGACAATACTGTTTATTCTAGTTTTAACATAGGTTAAATAAATTGTCTGATTGGAAAACGGGTAGAAACATTAAAGGGACAGAGGATGATGTTTCGCTAAAAAAAATTCGCCGCTTGAAATTAGGCATAAGAAAAAGTTTGTTATGTCTTATGAGAAGTTACATTGTTATGACCGCGTTAAACTACAATTTGTATATTTCAATAGTTAGTGCTGATCGATAGTGCTTATAAACCATGTAATTGTTACTGTTAGATTGAAGGCATAGCAATAACACTAGGCACAAGAACAAGCCGCACTCAACTTACAGCACAACACGCCGCATGACTTTATATTTATACATCACTGCCTATACTCGCCGCCGCCACGGACCCAACTCACCGTTTTCAAATCAGTTACAACTCCGGTGTTCTGCAGGAAGAAGGCCGGCCAGGGCCCCTTCGGCTGCGACTGATTTGGCATTCAGCAACTGCCAGCAAGTCAGTTGCATTGTTGCGCGGGCCTGTCTGCACATTAAACTTGCTGCACCAATCAGCGCTAGCCGGGCCCTGCCGCGCTTCTAGTAGGTAGATTCAGGGATCATAGAATGTCATATTTGAGGAACTTTTCTGTTATAGTAGCCGCATTGTGGGGGTCGATTGCTCAAATAATGGCGGTGTGTAGCTGTCAGCAGTCTTCCGCAATTCCATCGTAGTTGGAAAGTGGCAGTCATCCTGCGAGGAACACCGGGAGTTGTAACTGATTGAAAACACAGTGAGTTGTGGTCCGTGCGCGAGTTAGCGCACATTGTATATATATATTCAAATGCGGAGTGTGTGTAAGCTGATCAGGTGCGGACATTGACGTGAGGCGGTCATGGTATGACCGAGCCGCTCGCCGAGGATTGACACTTTGGTTTCAATCACAGTTTACGCGTCCCCTTATCTTCTAAACTATTAGCTATAATACCTTTACGGCATGGATCGCCCATCTCTACGACTGGGCATTCTGCTAGCTAGAACGGTTCCTACGATAAGTTTGGCAAAAACGAAAATAACACGTCGCAAAAATAATACTTTCCGTTTTTTCCAAGATGCAAGGTTAAATTATTATAATTGAGCCATTTATTAATGGAATGCAATTCTCTACTTAAGTAATTCTTCCTGTATAGCCTGTACCTCTGTCCCTGAAACTACTAAGGGCGAATAGTCAGCATATAATAAAAGCTTGACGTTAACTGCCTTTGCCATGTCATTAACATAAATCAGAAATAACAGAGGACCCAAAATCGAGCCTTGTGGTACTCCACATGCAATAGGGTCCTTATTAGAGAAGGTGCCTACTACATCAGTTATTTGGCTTCTACCAGAGAGATAAGCACCGAACCATTTCACAGTCCTAATGTCCATTCCAATAGTTTTTGGCTCTAGTTTAAGGCATACTTTAGTGTTTATTTAAATTTAAGCCTATTAATATTAATAGACATTAGGTATTATTAATAATGTGGCTGATAAATTATTTCGTTATAATGTTTCGTGTTACTAAGTTTCCGTGACTGCTATCTTCGTCAGATACGTAAGCGGAAACAGTGTGATAATCCGCGATATCGATGAGCCACTAAATGCAGACATCTACACGCAGCATTCTGTGCAGACGACATGTGCCAAGTACTCGCCAAGCGGCTTCTACATCGCCTCAGGAGATGTGAATGGCAAGATACGCATTTGGGACACAACACAGGTAATTGTCTGTGTACTGCAGTCGACTGGCATTGCTTTGTTAGTGCTCGTATACATGTGCATGTGCGTGTCTGCCTAGTTATGTGTGTGCTTGTTCACTTGCACATCATGCACGTGTGTGTGTGTGTGTGTGCGTGCGTGCGTGCGTGCGTGCGTGCGTGTGTGTGTCCTTGTGAATGTGTGTATGAACACATGGCTGTCTGTGAGTGCGTGTCTACAATGTTAAGTTTCTTACACATGCCAGGTGGAACACATCCTGAAGAATGAGTACCAGCCACTTGGCGGTACAATCAGGGATATTTCCTGGTCACCAGATAGCCAGCGGATGGTCGTGTGTGGTGATGGCAGAGAGAGCTATGCAAGAGTCTTCCTAGCTGAGACAGGTACTAATAGCTTCCATTTGTTTAGCTACTGTTGAAAAACTTGGTATATTTTCTGATGTCTCCTGCTTGTCCTCGTACTAGTGCTGTGCGTCGGATCCGACATGAACCAAAAATCCGATCCGACAGCATTTTTGAAAATCCGAATCCGAATCCGAATCCGATGGCTATTTTGAATCCCATCCGAATCCGAATC